TGTTTAGATTATGTGTATGTGTTGTTCAAAAAACCGGTTCCACATCCTTTAAGGATCCTTCTAATAGGGCCTTCCAGATCTGGGAAAAGTACAGTAGGCAACATCATCCTGGTGGAAATTACTTTCCTTGTGAAAGTGGATCAGAGACTGTGACCAAAGGGTCCATGGCAAAGACAGTGGAAAAGATCACTGTAGTGGACACTCCAAATCTCTTTTCCCCTCGAAGAATTGAGTTAGAGAAAGGAAATGGAAAGATGCAGTTATGTGGCCCTGGCCCCAATGTGATTCTCTGGGTCACACCAATATGTAAATTTAGCGATCAACAACAAGGTCTTTTCCATGCCTTCAGAAAATGACTAAATTCAGGAACCACAAAACATAAGATGATTATCTTCACAAATGGGAGAAAGCTTGAAAGAATTGAGCAACCCATTGACACATTTATTTCAGAACACAGCAAGCTTGGTAAAGTGGTCAGTAGTTGTCAGAACAGGTACCATGTCATTGACATCACTATTGGTCACAATTACACCCCAGAACTGCTTAAAAAACTTAGCAGGATGGTGACATCAGAGTATAGTGCACTTTCAAAAAGACAATTAAAGCATTGTACTAGAAGAAGACAAAAATCCATAAAACATTAAAGAGATCAAACGTCTTGAGTCTTACAGACAAAATTACTGAAAAGAAATTGAGTACACAAAAACTGAATAATGAGGGAAGATGAAATCATTTGGAATGTGGTGAATCACTGCATGTTTTCAACTTCCTTTTGATTTCCTTTGAATGTTTTTTGTACATTATTGTTTTAAAAACATCGGACTTTGACAAATTAAGTTCTTGAAGAATGCTGATATTGAAATTAACATATATAATCAACATTCATAACAATTAAGCCCTTTCTGAAAATTGAAAATAAACAACATAAATGGAACTAAATGAATCTAATGCTTTAACCAGATATTTATTTGTTTCTTTGTATTAAATGTGTATTAATCTTATGCATTTAGCATTTTTAAACTTACCTGCTTCCAACAATGTAACAGACATTAGAATTTTTTTTTTTTAAAGAATGAATTGAGTCATTTGATTAATTATCATTCATTGTTGAATTAAGAGAAGAAATAAAGTATGGTCATATTTACATTTAACATCATTTAGGTCTGAGAGGGTTCAGACTACAAAGACTCATAACCATAATCATTTTAATAGTTCCTTTAAAAGTTGATTTATTCGACTGAGTCAACAGGTGTAATGATCAGCGGATGTGAGTTCTGCCCTTTCTCAAATTCTCCAGGACTGAAATATGGATAGAGCTTTCCAGGAAAAGACTGCCCAGTGAAAGAATAGATATGATACCTGGCTTCAACATCATAAAAAGAGACCAAACCCTCCTCAAAATCCACAAACACTCCCACTTTCACTGGCTTCTCTTTCAAGGTGAGAGGGACAGGGGGGCAGTCATTCGCTGCATACTCAGTCCTGTTCCTCAGCCATATAGTCCAATATCCATTCTCTGGGTTGAGCCCAATATCCCCTTTTCTGTCAATGGATTCTTTTGCCACACCTAAATCCCACTCCACCGCACTGACTTGAACCTCATAGTAAAATTTCTGTGAGGAGAACCCCTCCTTTCCTAAGACACATGAGCAATAATTAAACCTTTCTGGGGTGTCAGGAATCTTCTGTGACTTGCCTGTATTCCAGACCTTTTTCCCATCGTCAGACAGCATGAGCTCAGGATGAGCTGTGTCAGGGTCAAGTGTCACATCCACTGAAAAATTATATAAAGGTTCATGTAAACTTTTGGCCAAGTCATTATTTCACTTTTAATCATGTAAAAATTTATTTGGTGCTTACAACAAATCAGTATAAAGGATTATTTTCTTTTCTGTTAGTAAAGTTTAAGGCCGCCGATATAATCCTGGTCTGACGTCATCAGGCTAAAACTATGTTTTCTTTGTTATTGAGAGGAAAGCACATTACATATTCATCTAAAACACTGCTCTCAGCAGCATGGGTCATGTCGGGATGTTAGCTATCAGTATCACTGCTCAGGTATTTTAAACTTCTTTTTACCCTTGACCAAAGAATGAAAAGGAACTTTGCAGTGAGTATATCAGGACCTTAAGTCCCATTCACACCAAGGACATATAGTCTAATACATATAGTCACTTTGAGAATTTTTTTTCCCAGCTGATAAAAGACAAAAACACTGACAGCCAATCAGAATCCATCGTGCTTTAAAGAGCTCAGCCATTTAAAGGGGTCATATGATGCGATTTCAAGTTTTCCTTTCTCTTTGGAGAGTTACAAGCTGATTGTGCATAGATAAGATCCCTGAAGTTGCAAAGACTAAAGTCTCAAAACCAAAGAGATATTCTTTATCAAAGTTAAGACTCTGCCACGCCCCCCCTAAAACGGCTCGTTCTAACATGCCCCCACATATCTACCTCACTATGTGGAAATATTTGCATAATGCGCCCAAATGATCACGCAAAGAAAGAAGGCGTGGTTTCAGTAACCGCAGTTAGTGTTGAAGCAGCATGTCAGGGAGACGCTGTGTGTTTCTAGGCGAAAGCACTTTATTTGGCCTTCCGAAAGTAGATGCATTTAGGAATCTTTAAGATTACTTACAACAGAACAGCAATGCATTTTATGGACGACCGTTTTGTGAACCTAAAGAGAGGAGGTAATATTGACTTTGCTATGACAATCTGGCGCTTCTGAATCAGCTACTGTAAGTATGTTTTGTTATTATTATCATTACTTATTTAAGTATTTGCTATTGACTGTTCAAATGCGGAGTTTTGCGCATCGTGTGTGTG